TAGACCAAAAACCATTCTATCCATTTGGGAAGTGCCCTTTCAAATTTATAGAGAATATAATCGCAAAAAGATCATAACGAATGTTGAAAAAATGAATAATTGTTCCCAAAACTCAATCAAGGGGAGAATTCCAAGTTATTAATGAAAGAGTTCTGTTAGAAGAATATCTACCCCCCATTTTGAGCGATGTCTTCCACTGACCTGTCCAAATCTAATTCTCGCATTGAAATTTCCTAAAATCACAAAAAAAGAGTTACATACAAAATATTTCTACATTGCAGAAGCACATGTCTGACCCAAGCCCAAAACAACATTCACAGTATAGCAATAATTATGATGTTAACATTTCAATTACCTACTGACACGGGAGTGTCCGTAGAATCATGGGAGATGGCATCCCGTGATCCAGATCGCATGATTTTCGTGATCCCGATGGCGTGATTCCATGATCCCACGGAATTGAAGATTTACTCAATCAAAGAAGAAGCCAAACCACCATATCAGTCATCAAATTCTACCTTTTTCTATTTTTTATTTATTTCCTATCTTTTTTTTATTATTTGGGTTACCTTCAAATAGAAATCTATTTATGTGTTGTTTTCTTTTGTTGGGATAAATTTTTCTTGATTTTATGTGATTTAGAGATTCTCTAGTTTTTGCTCCTATGAGTGTTGTATCTTCTTCTTTTTGGAAGTGGTGTATCTATATTTTGCTCAAAAATACGTGATAGAACCTCCATGCCAGTTAGTCATTAAATTGCTGTTTTCAGTGCGGAAACCTACTATTCAAATAGGTTATGCCTCATAAATCATTCCAAACACCATCGAACCCGCATATTATCATCCCCTTTCTACTCCATGACCTTACCCTCGCTAGATCCGCTCGCTAAATGCCTTCTAACAGCCTAAAACAGTATCATATGATGTCAGAGCCTGCCTAACTTGAAAAATTTAGGGATTATCATTCCTATTCCTACCAAAAAATCAACATGACTTAAATCATCAACCAAATCAATACCCTAACCATTCCTACCAAAATTTCAAGCCCTAAACCTAAGATTTTGATAATTCAACATTCTAACTTCTACCAAAAATTTAGCTTGATACCTATCATGAAAATCTTAAGCCCTCGACCAACATTTGATTTGCAATCCTACATCTATTAGGAAAATATGATCAAGAGAAAAATAAGTCTTACAGTCAAGGAGAAACCCTCAGTGAGGTGTCCAAAAACTTAATATGGAGGAAATGCAACAAGAAATCTTTCAATTGTAGCAGAGATTTGCCACCTTTCAAAGGAGACCATCTAGTGAGGTCAGCCATAGCCACAGCAGTGACAAACTAGATCGAGGGGGGAAATTAAATCCCTTCCATTAAGAAGTTTCTAGTAATAAAAAACCAATATCCCGTCGATTTGGCATAGATTATCAAATAGGAGTTCAAGATGTCAGAGTGAAGATTGACTTGCAGGATTTTGACGGTCGCATGAATTCAGACAAGTTCATAAAGTGGCTTCAAACAGTAGAATGGGTCTATGAGTACAAGATTTCTACCTGACAGAAGGGTAAAACTAGTTGTTATTGAGTTAAGGAAGAATGTATCTCTATGGTGAAAAAATAAAATAAAATGTTTACACTAAGTGTAAGAGGAAAGACAAAATGGCTACCTAGTCTAAAATGATAAAGGAGATGCAGTAGAAATATTATCCCTCCCATTACCAAGAAAATATTTTCATTGAACTCCACCACTTACAAGAAAGATTCTTATGAGGAGTACAAAGTTGAATTTGATCAACTCATTGAACTGTGAGTTGGTGGAATCAAAGGGGCACACAATAGCCAAATATCTTGGAAAACTCAAGCTAGCTATCAATAATATGGTACACCTGAGCTATATTGATCCATATTCAACATATAAACCCTAACTTCGAAAGTGGAGAAACAACATCACCCAATAACTGTCACCAAATATAGGAAAATTTCAATCACAAGATCGGACAACAAGATTATACCCAGTGGAGGGCTCAAGCTAACATGCAAGAAGACAAACTAATCCAAAGTGGAGAAAAGGTGAACACACCAATACTCCTAAATTCTTCCTAGTTAAAAATTTCTTCAAGTGTCATGATTTAGGCACAATATATCAAATTGCGCAAACAAAATGATGATCTCTTTCATTGAACATGACACAACTGAAGAAATTGACAGTAACAGAAGAGAATGAAGACTTCAGAGAGGATTATTAGTTTCTAGCCAATGAAGGAGAGATGTCAGCGATTCATGTTGAGCCCATGAGAGAGACTCCAGCAGTACTAACATTAGTTGTCTTAGAAGTTAGTGAGTTTAAGGAGTTAATACCAGAAAAGAGACAAACCCAATTAAGGGAGTTGTCGAGTGTCTCGACTAGCAAATTACCTTGTGGGAGGTTGCCACTAAGGTGGTCCAACATGCAACAAATTTTACTACGGCGTTAATTCCTCCAAACAAACTTGTTTATTGGATGCGCCCACCTGAGTATAATAAATAGGAGAAGCAAGTTACAAATTTAATGGCTTGTATACGTCTATGTGTAGTTTCAAGTTCAATTATACCACAAAAGAATGGCTTCTATCAGGACAGATCTTGGAATAACGTATGTGTTTTAGAGTTGCAAGAAATGGACATAAGCATAGAATTTGTAGTGGGACTCTCTAAGATAAACAAAAAGATGACTTTGTTATAGTGGTGGTAAGTGCTTTCAGAGAACCTATAGAGAAGAAGATATCTCTTCTAGTCGGGGAGAATGACATGGAAGCGTCCATAGAATTGTGGGAGTCGGTATCCCATGATATCATGGAATTGAAGATTTTTGCGATTGCAGAAGAGGCGTCATGCGTTTTCAACCCGTTATCAAATTTTGCTCTATTATTATTTCTATTTTTGAATTATTTTCGATTTCTTTTTTTCTAATTTGGATTACTTTCCATTAAAAACTTATTTATGTGTTATTTTTTTTCTGTTGGGACAACTTTTGCTTGAATTTGTGTAATTTTGCTTGAATTTGTGTAATTTAGATAATTTATTCTATAGTTTATGCTCTTATGGGTGGTGTATCCTCTTCTTTTTGCAATTAGGGTATTTATATTTTGCTCGGGAATAGGAGTTGGAACCTCTTCGCCATTTCACCATTTCGCCATTCGACCGCTATTTCAATTCGAAGAACCATCAAACTCATCCAACCTACTATCCTAGAGCAGGTTTTGCCTCATACATCATTCCAAACGCCATCAAACTCACGTATTATGATCCCCTCGCTGCTGCACAACCCTAGCATCGCAAGATCCATTTCCTAAACAGCTTCTAGGAGCCCTAGAACAGTAGACATACGAAAAAAGGTACAAGAACTACAAGGACTTTTTACAAATATTTGACTAATAAATATAGTTTCTATGATAACTTTTCTCCTTAGTTCCAATAACTGGGCATTTCCAACATCTATGAAGCCCTAAACAGACAAAATAAAGGGGGAAATCTCAGCCTTGCAAAAGAAAAGAAATATGCATTCTGCAAATGGATATTCAATACCAAATGAGAGTTCAATAGCATTGAAACATTAAGGCTGGACTGATTTAAAAAACCTTATCGATTAATTCAAATTTATGGGATTGTTTAGTGATAAACCTTTATATAAATTGCTAAGATTAATACAGTTTGAGTTATCTCTTAGTGCTAAATTGGAGTAGTCTCATCATCAACTAGATGTCAAGATATCAAAAATGTTTTTGGTGGGATCTTAAAGATGAAGTCCACATAACTATGCCACCCGGGTTTGAGACCACTAACTAAAACAATAAAGCCTTCAAACTCAAGAAATTTATTTATGGTTTCAAGCAATTACAAAAATCCAGGTCAACAAATTCACTGCTTTGATTAAAAACTACAAGTGCTCTAACATAAACTAAATTATAATTTTCATTTATCTATGTTGATGATATCATCTTAATTGGGAACAATGAAAAAAAAAATTGCAAAGGAATCTTGGCGAATGAATTTGAAATTATAGATCTTGGAGGGTTTTTTTTGTATGGAAATAACATGAATAACTAAAATCATACACATTTCTCAATAGAAGTAAACTCCAGACATTCTAAGAGAAACTAGCGTGATAGAATGTATACCTATTAATACCCTAATGAATTCTATCAATAAAATTGAGTCCAAATGAGATGAAAAGTGGACAATAAAATGTATCATTTGTAAAACTCACCTACCTTTTTAAATGCTATATCAGAAAATTATTTTCATATGACTGTTCAAACAATATCTATATATATATATATATGTGTGTGTGTGTGTGTGTAAATTCTAAGCTAAGCAAGAAGCGTAACAACAAGATATTCAGATTGTATTCTGCTTCCTATTTTTCTATTTTTTTATTTATTCACCCTCCCTCTCTGGGGTGCTTTTACCCTCTATATAAAACGCGCATGGTCCTTTTCATTAGAATAAGAAAAAAAGTTTCTTTCTCTTCTATGTTGTTGTATAGGTCTTTCTCCTTGAAGCTTTCATTTTCAATAATATCTCTATTTGATTTTCCCAGGTGTTGGAGTATGTGACAATTGACATATTTACTTCGGTGGTCCGTATGCAACCTTTGGATAAAGAATTTTAGTCTCCCGTTCAAGTTTTTATAGTTCACACTTATATTTCTTCATTTCTACAAACTTGTATTCATTACAAGAAACCTGAATAACAAAGGCAAGACAAGGCGACTGAATAACAATGACATATAACACTATATCTTGATCAACATGAATAAGGGATCCATTGCAACAGAAAAAATATGCCACCCAAATTGACTTCATAAGCATATGCCACCTAGAGTGATGTTAATTTGATGAGGTTATAACTGATATGACCATTAACTCATATTCATGCACTTAGTATAAAAAATTATAAAAAGAAAAAGCAATGATTTTGTATATCATGAAATAGCATACAAAGAGGGACTCAGATATGACACCTTTCCAAGAATTGCATGATGATGAATTAATGCAGTCGGATGAATTGATCCAGTTTCCTCTCTTCCAACTTCGGCAATGTCTGAAAGCAAAAGCAAAAGCTAACTTAAAAAGAAAAAAGAACCAAGAATTCAAAAGATCAATTGTTGTAGTCCCAATAGATAGAACTACTACCTCCATAAACTCTACGAAAGAGTAACTGGGAGGAGGCTCCACTCAATATTGAAAGGTGTTGAAGAGTTCTCGAGGAAATCATGGCAGCACCGAGACTACTTCATTTAAAAGAAACAAATCTAGATTCATTCAATATTGTCAGATAAGGACTTCGGATTAAAAATTTCTTATAACTGGCTGAATGATGAATTAATGCAGTACGTCAACAAAAAAATAGCATAATCAATAAGAAGTGACCTTGATATCCAAATCCTTACAAAATATTCTAGACCATTAGCGCAAAATGATAGAATATTAGGTAAAATAAGAAAGAAATTCTTCTAATCATAGTGGTTAACTTTGCAACTACCATACTGAAAGAATACATTATCACATATGTTTCCGTTAGAATTAATAGGTTTGTATTTTGAAGTATGATGCATAGCATAAAAATAAAAAGAAATATAGATCTGACATAATAAAAAACATAACCTTGAAACCACTTTCATAAAATATATAAACCAAAACATGGACAAATAATTCAGTCATTTCTTAACATTAAAATAACAACAATAACAACAAGCATTTATCCCACAAAGTGGGGTTGGCTACATAAATCATTTTTCTCCATTGTGTCCTATTGTGTCATATTTTCATTTTATTCTAATAAAATAAGATCATTTTTTATACATTAAGCCCAAGACTTTTTAGGTCTACCTCTATCTCCCTTAACAAGATCATCAAATGGTCGACATTTGATGTGACCAATCCATTCAAGACGGCTATCTCTAATCTTGTCTGTTAATGGAGCTACAACAACCATATCACGGATATATTCATTACGCATTTTGTCTCTAAGTGAAACCTAAGCATTCTCATCTCAGAAACAGTTAACTTTGTTTTATGCTTTCCTTTTAAAGGAAAACATTGTGCGCCATAGAGCATTACAGGTCACACCACCATCTTATAGAATTTTCCTTTCAGTCTAAGCGGCGTTTTTCTATCACACAACAGGCCCCATGCATTCCTCCACTTCAGTCAACCAATTTGAATTCTAATAATAACATGCCCATCAATATCACCATCACTTTGAACAATAGACCCGAGATATCTAAACCATTCACACTTTTTTAATAATTTGATCAGCCATAGTTAAAACTCTGGCATTAGAGCTACTACTGCTAAAATTAGATTCCATGTATTCATTTTTAGACCTACTCAAACGAAGGCCTTGAGGCTCCAATGTAAACCTCCATAATTCAAGTTCTTTCGTGAATTCTTT